TTGGTTCGACCTATTATTTACTTTTGTTTATCCGAGGGACTTTTTTTCCTGAACCCCATCCCATCGGGGGGGGAGGGAAACTGCTGCCGAAAAGTTTTCGAAATTTCTCTTTAAATTTAAATTTTCACCAATTAATTAACAAAAATATTTAAAAATCAAGTAAAAATCAAATTTCTCCCTTTTATTTGTACCTTTCGTTATGCCTCCTCCGACAGAGCTGTTTGAGGGCTTCGCCTGAACCCCATCCCAACGGGGGGAGGCGAAGTGCTGTCGAAATTTTGATAAATTCCCAAAAATTCATTCCTACCTCTAAAAATCTTCAAACTCGGCGGGCTTATATATGTATTGATCCTTAATATATATAAACTAAGAAAGAAATTTTATCCTAACTAAATACATTTTTTTTAATTTATAATTGAAAAATACAAAAGAATTCCCTAGAAGAAGAAGGGAAAGAGACGTTGTGGTAACCCGGGTTCACGTGAACCTACTGGCTTGTTCCCGAAGGCCTGAGGCAAGTGACGAGAATTTTCAGTTATTAAAGCTATTTTTTTAATAATTATTTGACATATATTCGGATTAAATCAAAAGCAAAGGGTAGAAGGAAGCACGTGCGTACCTCGCGACTCGCTAGGGTTTTCATTACATCCCCCTATGCGCTGAGCGCGAGGTAATCCCTTCTGTACTTCTCTCTACCAATGTCTCTTGAGGTTCTCTTACATCCCTATTTCTGACTATTCTTAGTCTTCCTTTTCTCATACGACAGTTTGCTGTTAGAGGTGTTCCCCCATCCCGCCCGCCYTTCTCACTAAGCTTTTTGCATACTGCAGGGTGCCGCTGATTAGGGTTGCGGCCCTCCCGCCCACTTCTTCTCTTGGGCTCTGCTAACCAGGGTTTGTGGCACCCCTGGGCAACTCAAAATTGGGTCGGGCTGTTGTCTGTAAGCTCTAATTTCAAGCCATCCTAACGCACCAACCGAAGAAGTTCCTAGCGTAGTTGTTAGGACATAAGGGACTGTTCACAAATAGGTACGGGCTGCCGGATAAGACAATAGGTCCGGGTTGCCGGATCAAACATTAGGTCCGAGCTTCCATCCCTGACATTGGGTCCGGGCTGCCAGTTCTAACATTAGGTCGGGGCTGTCGGTTCTGACATCATGTCCGGGCTGCGAGTTCTGTCACAGGTCCGGGCTGCTCCAACAGTCATAGGTCCGGGCTGTAACGCCTGGCGTAAGTGCCCGACTACAACTTCTGGTAGCCTATGGAACCAGACACGATGGGGCCACAACCGACCACGGGCGAAGCAGGAGAGGAGTACAGGACATTGCCCGACCGAGCACTGAGGGATCTGAAGGAACGAATTAGGCAGGGAGCACCGCTGAGATGGGCTGACCAAACCAATGACGGAGAGCCCGACGTAATGGGCGAACCGGTCGTGACTGAGCCGCAGGAGGCATTGAAGACAGGAACCTCGAGCGGTCGACGAGAAGCGACAAGACGACGCTCCCCCGAGTATGAGCGGAGGGAAACCATGGCGGATAGGCACAGGGACGATTGGAGAGAGAGTTCGAGGGATTCCTATTGGAGGGACAGAGATAGCGACAGATCGCCGCCCAGGCGAGTCTTCGACCCCCAGACAGGGGAGTCGCATCCGCTCCCTTACGAGAGCAAGGATCGCTATATTAGTACGGACAAGGCCTCTGAGCCTCCTGCCTTCAGGAGCTATGGTATCACAGAATATCTGGAGAAGTGAGAGCTTCATGCTAGCCGGAGTCAGTGGTCGGAGAAAGAGATTATAGAGAACTTCCTATTTAATGTGGATCCAAGTCTCGGCAAGGAAGTTAAGGAAGCCCGACCGAAGGATGGGAAATGGACTACGTATAAGAAGAACCTCATTGAGCTTTACCAATTAGAGGATAACAAGTACTCCATCAAGGACCTCGAGATTATGACTCAAGATGAAGACGAGAGTGTACAGGCTTTCGGTAAGCGCTTCCAAAAGATATCTGGTGTGTTGATGGAGAAGGGCAAGCTGTCGGAGGTTGAGCGGTGCACCATTTTCATTGGTCGCCTGCCCATAGGTAAGCAGAAAGCGATACTTAGAGATTTGTCGAATGACAAATTAGATTTCCCCGAAGTCCTTAAACTGGCAATGAAAGCAGGAGCAGACGACTATAGAGACTTGGTGTGGAGAGGGATGAGAAGACAAGACTCCTCTCTCTATCGGGAATATGACACTGATAGGTGTCCGGACTTTAAGGATTACCCTTGGTCAGACAGAGGAGACGTGAAAGCCGTGACGAAAGAGGTAAGAGAGATGAGGGAAATGATGAAGCGCCTAGCGAGATAGGTCACAGATATAGCAACAAAGGCGGAAGCGACAACTTGCCAGGACAAACCAGGGTCTCCCTATTCACATCGCTGGAATCGGGGTGAACCTGGAGAGTGACGAGCAAACATCACAGACGATTCGGACCTGAGAGAGATGATCAAGGCGCTAACTCGATAAATCGTCTGGATAGAGGCGAAGATTGAGACTGATGGGTATCAGGCGAGGAACGGTTCGTCGAACTTGTTGAGGTGCGATCGAGTTAGGACTGGTTCAGCGTACTCGCTGAGGTGGGATAATCGGGGGCCAGGATCATGGAGACCCCTAGAGGATAGAAATCCTCAAACACTAACCGATTATCGATCGAGGGAGCAGAGGTATCATACACGTTGTGACGACTCCCCTAAGTATCAGGACGAGGATCGAGATGGACGGACTGCCTATCATCGGGACTAGACGAGAGACAGGGAAAACGGGTATCGACGACACGGTCGGGTGGAAACATACCCTCACAACCCGATATACGACCCAAGTCGCGAAGATCTCCGGGATGCAGAGGAGTATCCTAAGGATGAAGATAGATATTACCATGCGATGGCGAGAGACCGACGCTACAATTCCCGCGAGCGGCACGAGAGGAGAGATGATCGAGACCATCGGGATGATGCCAGCGGCCAACAAGAGTCTAAACCGCGTCCTCAGGACGCACAGGTACCAGGCGGACACGAAGGATACAGACATGTAGAGGCTCAACCTACTTCTCCTAGTAACACATTTGTCTATTGCTATTCAGATAACCATATCGAGAGAGATTGCCCCGATCTTCAGAAGGCAATAGACTATGGCGTAGTAGGACTCGAGGACCGACAGTACGTCAAGAGAACCGACAATCTGAGGGATGCATCCGCATATCCTTCAAAGGAAGAGGACTTGGAAGTTAGACGAACGTCGTTGGACAAGGACAAGGTAAAGGCGACGGTAAAGAGTTAGAGCGTCAGGTTTTTCTTACCGTCAGGAAGCAAGACGCATATAGTGCCAATCCGCGTCATCTCTACCAAATCATCGTGGGCTCTTTCCTCAAAAGAGAGGGTTGACCCAGTGGATCGAGAGGAAGAGAAAGAAGAATGCAGAGTGCGATCACCACGAAAACGAGGCCCTGAGCGAGTTACTGATACAACAACGTCTTTAAGGCCAACACTTAATCAACGTATACGATGCTCCGTACGGGAACCGTCCAAGCGATACGGAACGGGCCCCTATATATCGCCGGTATCACAAGCGTGCCCGTCACAAACACGATTCTTATCGGACCCGAACGAGGTAAACCGGTAACATGGATCGACGAGATCTTTGTTGTTTCTGACCCGTTAGCAGACAAGCCTTTTAGCAACGTCATACCGGTCGCACATCGGTCACGGTTTCGGGTAGTAAAGCGGACTGCACCGCGCTCGTTTTCTTTGATGCTTGAGAGAACGTGCCTCAAGACATATTTAACATTCCTGGGAGTGGTTTCATGGGGACTCATAAAAACAATGGGGTGGTTCTTCACAGAGCAAAGGGTGACGCTGGGGATGGTCGAATGATTGCAGTGCGGAGAAGGGAAGCACCCATCGAGACACGGGCATGCTCTTTGGACGGATAGGTCGAGGCTTGACGGGGGCGTCGAGAAGAGGTCCGGGCTAGATGTCGGGCGGCCAAATCCAGTCGGCCATCCGAAATAAAAGGAATTGGGCCCTCAAACGAACGCCCAATTAAAATTTTACTGATACTCTTGTTTGACCTGACCGAAAAAATTAGGGGTACCTAGAGCACCCCTAATGTTTTAGGTGCCGACCGTTGAGAGTAACCCTCAAAATTGACAAGAGGGACTACCGCTTCTACCGCGCTGACGCCCACCTCCTTTTCGCCCGCTCCGAGGTTATTTCCGAAATGGCTAGCCGCGGGACGGTAATATGAGAGTAAGCCTTGGCACGACTCTTCTACATCAGCCTATCGACGGGGAGATGGAGCCTTGAATTTTGTTAATTCTGATGACAGAATTAAAATTAAGAAGAAATAATTAAAAATAATAAGAGAAGGAAAAACAAAGGAATTTTCGCTATTTAATTGAATTCCCTCGGAATTCATTTTTGATAAAGATACGTTTATTTTTATTATTTTCGATAATAGAATTAAAAAAAAAAAACAAATTAAAAATGATAAAAGAAAAGAAAACCAACGATTATTTAATATTTGATAAAATTTTATTTGAATCATTCGCGATCGGATTTATCCCGGTATTATTTACTTACCTTAATTCTGGCAATTCTTACAGTTTTTCGATTATTGCGGACCCTTGCGAGATTTACCTGATCTATCTGAATCCTACCCTTATTGCCACCTATGTGTTATGAGTGAGTGCGGGATGGATGCTCGGCGCGGTATTACTGCTGGTGCTATTTTGGTTGTGCCGCTTGACTTTATCACTTCGGTATGGACACTGGATCGACTCCGACATGGCACTTTGGTTCGGGGCAGGTTTGGTGGTACTCGCGTGGCATATTTGGCACCATTCTCTGATCACGACGACACGATTGGGCTACGACATGTGTTACACGGTTCTGTTACATTTGGTATGGTTCATTCACGGCACGGTATGATGTTACGCTGATTCGAGACGGGGTCAGCACGTGCGCGGTGACAATTTGGCATTCGTGTGGTACGGTACAATGACACGTCTACAGTACGGTTGGTATGCTGCGCTGATCTGGTACGGCTCACGGGACACTGGTTTGGCTCATCCGCGGTATTGGTACAACATGGTGTCCTCTGATCTGGTTATGCTGGTACGTTGCAGAGGACGCAGTCCTTGTTTATCAGCGATTCTTAGATTGGTGTGGAGCATGGAATTGGTATTGTATGGTACCACCGCGTGGTACCCGACAATGGACTGGGACAGGCTGCGACTGTTGAAAATAATAACTTCGGGGCTTTGACATATTCTGGTCCAGATACGGTGGACCTACAAGTTCGGACTGCACTTGGCTTGGTCCCGCGCGCTGGTGTTATTTGGGGAGGCCAACACCCAAGGTATTATTCAAGAGCTACTCTACTGTGGGCAGTACTTATTTCACCCCCGCGGGTCCTGGATCGGGCCTGCTGGTTTAAACCTCGGACCAGTCAAGGAAACCGCGGGTCTGCTTGGCAAGTTTGAAGGTCTGGTACCTTCAGTGCCAGTTTTCAGCTGTGCGCAAGGCTGGTGTCGCGACCCGAAACCAATATAGGAAGAGTGGCAGAAGGACACAGGGACATTCGGCAGTTGGGGACCAGGGAGAACGGGGCGCACAAGGGCGGGCGACCAGCGTGCACGTAGCCCGCTGGTGCTGCCATGGCTGTGACAGCCATGGGTGTGCACCCATGAAGGAGAGTCCAGAAAGGGAGATTCGGAGACTGAGGGACCGGAGGGAACGCAGAGGGAACGCAGTGTTTGGACCGCGACCACGGGAGACCGCAGCGGGACGGATTGTACCCGTTTGCATGAGCAGGCGGGTTCCAGCCATGGCGAACAGGGCTGGTACAGCAAAGAGACCAAGACGGAGTGCATGTGCTGATGAGGATGGTGATCCCGCTGAAGGGAGAAACCGTTGGGCTACACTGCTGATGAGAACAGTGATCCCGCTGAGGGGAGAAACCGCTGGGCTACACTGCTGATGAGAACAGTGATCCCGCTGAAGGGAGAAACTGCCGGATTACGTTGCTGATGTGAATAGTGATCCCGCTGATGGAACGAACGGCCGGGTTATGCAGCTGATATGAATAGCGATACCACTGATGGGAGGAACAACCGGATTACACTGTTGATGTGAACAGCTGGTCCGCTGAGGAAACGAACAGCCACATTTCACTGTTGATGGGATCTGCCATCCGTTGATGGAGGAGCTAGTCGTATCCTGTTGTTGATCAAATCTGCACCTAGTTGAATCTACTCATGCTTCTCAGTGGAGACCGGAAGTTCGATTGGGATTGCTTCAGCTATTCCGCGATGACCCAGAGACAAATTACGAAAATGCCCCTGGCTTCCAGAATAGCACGACGCTGCACCGCTCCCTGACTGGAAAGGACAAGTACAGATTAGTCACCTTTCATTTTTATCTTTATTTTGTTTTCTCCCTTCCTCTTCTTTCTTTTCCCCGCTTTTCTTTGAAATGCTTCAAGGCCGCTTGCCTGTTTGACCAACCGGGGATGCCCTACCAGTAATCAACAAGACACTGTAGGTATGTGGACTGAGTGAGAGAGAGAGAGCAGACTGCATGAGTGAGAGAGAGAAGAGAGAGAGAGAAAGAGAGAGAGAGAGAAGGAGAGAACAGCAGAAAGCGCAGACTATTGAGGTTGTGATCAGCAGAGAGAGAGAGAGGGGGAATGACAGCACAGCAGAGGGAGAGAGAGAGGGGGACTGACAACACAACAGAGAGAGTGAGAGGGAGACTGCACAGTGAGAGGGAGTGAGAGAGAGACTGCGCAGAGTATGTGAGAGAGGGAGAGGGAGACAGTGAGAGAGAAAGTGTGACAGAGTGTGTGAGAGAGGGAGGTGTGACAGTGAGAGAGTGTATGAGAGAGGGAGAGTGTGACAGTGAGAGACAAAGTGTGACAGAGAGTGTGAGAGAGGGACTGCACAGTGAGTGCAGTGAGAGAGAGACTGCGCTGTGTGTGTGTGTGTGTGTGTGTGTGTGTGCGAGAGAGAGAGAGAGAGAGAGAGAGAGAGAGAGAGAGAGAGA